TCAACGCCCCGACTGTAAGGCCGCGGGGCCCAGGGCCCAGTTCCCTCGGGGCCCGCGCGCTCCATGCCAACCTCTTTGGCAATGCACCGCTCGTGGGCGGAGAACATCTCCGTGTCCACGGCCTGGCGGGCCGCGGCCCCGTGGACACGGGGCGCTTCTCCGCGGATGCCCCGCGAGGAGCGCGTCCGTGAGACCGCCTTTCCGCGGCATCGCGCCCTGGAATCCAGAGCGCGAAGGCGTGGATGTGCGTCCTGCGGATTCAACCACAATTTGGGGGTGGTCTGATTTTTGGGGTGGCCTGCTTGGAGCTGTCTTGGAGGGCTCCAGGGGGCTCTGGGCAAAAGGCCGCCCTCTCGTGGCTGCTCTGGAGGGGGGTTTTGAGAACTGCTCGTCTGCGAGGGTTGTGACCCCCTCCCTCTTATTACGAAATCTGGAGTACACGCCTGTCGTTGAAAGTAGGTCAGAGTGAGGGGGCCGAACGGTCATTCACTGTCCTTGGGTGCGTGGCTGGAGTAGGATTCCGCGGTGTGGAGTGTTGTTATTGTTGTTGTTGATGTTGTTAGTGTTGATGGTGTTGTTTGTGTTGTTGTTAGTAGTAGTGGTGTTGATGATGTTGTCGTTGTTGTAAGTGTTGATGAAGTTGTTGGTGTTGTTGTTGTTGTTGCTGCTGTTGTTGGTGTTGAGGTTGTTGGTGGTGGTGGTGGTGTTGGTGTTTATTGTGTTGTTGCTGCTGCAGTTGCTGTTGTTGCTGTAAGCTGCGTTGTTGTTGATGTTGTGTATGCTGTTGTCGTCGTTGGCGTTGTGTTTTTTCTTGTTGTGGTTGTTGTTGATCCTGTTGATGTTGGTGCTGTTGTTGATGTTGGTGTCGTTGTTGGTGTTGCTGTTGTTGTGTTTGTGGTGTTGTTGTTGGTGTTTTTGATGTTGGTGCTGGTGCTGGTGTTGGTGTTGGGGTTGCTGCTGTTTGTTGGTTGTTGGTTGATGTGTGGCGTTTGTTGTTGGTTGATTGTTGTGTGTTGTTTGTTGTGTGTTGTCTGTTGTAGTCGCCCCTCCCGCGACCTGACTCGCGACCCACCCGCGACCCATTTGCGACACATCCGCGACCCACGCCCGCGACCCACGCCCGCGACCCACCCGCGACTCACCCTCGACTCACCCGCGACCCACCCGCGACTTATCCGCGACCTTCCTGCGACACACCCGCGACCCACCCGCAAACCACCCGTTTGCTGGAACGAAAAATACGGGATCTGCGGCGGGCTCGTGATGATGTGATAAAAACTCGGCGCCTGCGGCGGGCTTCTTCAGAGCCTCGCAGGCAGCAGACGACCCCGCCGCCCCCTCACTCTTATCCGCAACCGCGGGGTATCGTATTTTGTGGATCCACACATCCCCATCGATGTTTCGGCCGCCTGCCTACTTCGAGCGCCGAGTGGTTTTCGATCTTCCCTCCTCTTCGCGCGGCGGGCGGACACCCCATCTATACCCACATCTTCCGACCGACGGGAATACGTTTAAGTCGGGCTTGTCCCTCTACAGGCGGAATGTTCATAAATAGTGGAAGCAAATAGCCTGGGGAGGATTCGTCGATTATTGTTCTGCATGTTTGGAGTCTGTCTTCACTTTTTAGAATGTTTCGCCCCACATCCCCTTTTAGGAGGACACGCCCGACCTAAGTATACAGTCAACCTGCATAATAAGGATAAGCAGCATTCCCAAGGGTACCCTTGCATCCTTGCCTCCTCCGCCCATCCTTGGGCAGTTTCGTTGGCTGCGCCCCGCTCGAGAAGCTTCGAACTGGGCGTCCAAGGCCCTTGCATCCCTATCGCGCATCCTCACCATACGGGTTGACTGTACGCTCGCCGCTCGTGAAATGCCCCCGCTCGCCGCAGGGGCGCCCAGCCGCCGGCCACGCCCGTCTTCGTGCCGTCGTGGTGCCAGGCGCGCGGCCGCCGCCGCCGACCGCGCGGGCCACCTGGCGGCCGCCTCCTCTGCCCGCCTCGCTGAGGGGCAGGGCCTTCGTGTCTGGCAGCCTGGAGGTTCGGGCGCCCTTCTCGGAGGGGGAAGAGGTAGTCATCGTCGGAGGGCACCAGCCATACACCAACACCGATCCTGGCCAAGGATCACCCTGGGGCCAGGATCGGTGTATATGCCTTCTTGCCCAAGGCAGGAGGGCGAATACACCGATCCTGGGCCGTCGGAGGGCACCAGCCATACACCAACACCGATCCTGGCCAAGGATCACCCTGGGGCCAGGATCGGTGTATATGCCTTCTTGCCCAAGGCAGGAGGGCGAATACACCGATCCTGGGCCCAGGGTGATCCTGGCCAGGATCGGTGTTGGTGTATAGTTGGTGCCTTCTTACATCGGGGGTGGACTACCCTGACACGTCGATTGAGGAACTGGCCGTGGTCGGTTCGCGAGAGGGCGTCGCGGCCGTCATTTTTGCGGGTCCAGGTCCGTCGGTTTCGGTCCTAGGCTGTTTTCACCAAGGGGAGGTTTACGACAGGGAGGTTCCTCCATCGCCGAAGGTACCCGTACTGCTGCCCTCGCCCCGTTTCCCCTTCTGGGGGCCTCTTGGAAGGCCTCCTTTTTGTTGGCCTGTGTGGGCCGCCTGCCGCCGGGCGCGGGCCACACGGGTGCCGCCCCTCTGCCCGCCTCGCTGAGGGGCAGGACTCGTGCCCACGTCCACGGCACCCTGGAGCTTCGGGCTCCCCTTCCGTAGGAACCTCGCCATGGGGGCAGCGGGTCCCGAGGGCAAACGGCTCCTGAGTTTTGTGCGCCGTGTTCGGGCGCTCGGGGCCGCCTCCGGGGGCCCGGGACAGTCAGACAACGATTCAGGATGAAGATCTCGTTTTTGGGGAAGGCCCCAGGGTCCAGGACCCGTTTCCCTCACGACCCGTTCGCCCCACTCTAAACACCCCGTTCTTTTGGGATATGGATTAAAAGGTTGGCCCCATACAGGCTCGATGCTCATCCATATCCAGTGCGCCTCGGCCTTGCGGCGCTCCTTCCAAGAGGGCCCATGACGCAC